CTTCGAGAGGGTCTGCCTGACGTCCACCAGAGCCCATGCCGATTGTCTTCTCCTCATGCAGGCCCAAGGCTTGACACAGGCGCACGCCAAGACCTATTATGTAGTAGACTGCGGTCCTCGTCGGTGTCAGGAGCGAATAGCCTGCGACTAGGCCAAAACATTGCAGGGTCTTGAGGTTCATAGGCTTGATGGCGGCTTCGAAGTATTTCAGGGCGGCGAGATAGTAGCTGTCGGCGAGACCTGCATACTGGGTGTCCATCTTCTGCAGGCTGATGGCGATGACCATGCGCAGACAGTAGTTCTGGTAAGGATCCGTCGAGCCGTTGTAGACCTCATCGACATCTTTGGTGAAGGTTGGTTCGTGGAAGATGGGGTACATGGGATGCACTAGTCAAGTCAGTCGATGTCGGGGTTGCAAGGAGACAGCTTTACGCGCCTTTGCAGTAGAAGAGTTCTACAAGTAGGTTGGTGAGGTCTCTGTTGGGCAGTTCCTCAGCCGCGACGTCGCTGACCATGGGGTAGATCTTGGAGGTGGGTCGCTGATCTTCCTGGGCGAAGGTGTCCTTGATGTTCTTCGCCTCGGCATGTGGCACGATCTCAGAGATGCTCTTTGACTCGGTGAACTGCTTCGCCAGCTGCATCACCAGCCGGGTGATGGTGATACCGCTGGAAGGGCCCAGGAATTTGGACTCGTCGGAGTCCTGGACACGCACCGTGGCTGCCCCACGCATCACATCTTCAGGGTCCGGCTCCACGTCGTCCCGTTCGAGATCAGCCAGCTGCTTCTCCAGGTCGCGCACCTTCTGCTGCAGGTGCACGACATAGTTCCGGGGTATTTTGCGTCCCTTGGTGGGGTCATAGTATTCGCAGTGGGAATTAGTGCGCTCGCATGGCCCGCATCGAGGGAGTCCGGGGTCGCATCTTGTCTTGCGCTGGGCTCTGGTCAGTGGACATTACGTAGCCAGCCGTGCCCGGGATGATGCTTACCGTCCGACAACGACAGCAAGCTGTCAGAGTGTGGGCGATGCGACTCTGGCCGGTGGTGGTGGTGCCTTCCTCAGGCGGGTGCGGGGCCCCTTCCGTCTTGGTGTGTGTCGCAGTCGCGACTTCCATCGCTCGTCTCTCACCGCGGGAGGAGGATGAGGGAGCTGGCTTATGATGCGCCTGGGATGTGGGGGAGATCGACGCGCACGTCCATGCCCGGGAGGTTTGTCGCGCCGGCGAGGTCTGGTCCTGCGCCCTCAGTCCGTGAGGCCGTCGAGATGGCGATGTGGGAGCGAGTTCCTGAATACGGTAGCGGTGCCTGGGTAGAGGAGCAGCCGAGCAGTACCACCGGAGTGTCGTCCGGTGGGTGTATCTTTAACCAGGAAGAAGGAACGAGGCGCGACGTCGACTGGGCCACAAAAAACGCCTGCGCATTACCGAGCGTCCCCAATCAGACGGCGCCAAAAGGAAGTCGAAGCATGACACGCCCCCGTCGCTGGTGCGGCGCAGGCTGATGGTGACAGGCCCGGCCTCTGTCCAAACTCTGGGAGCCGAAGAAAGACGTGCAGCGTGGGCATCCAGCGCGACCGGGCCCATGATAGGCTGCCTCCTGGAATTGGGCCTCGAACGCTCGGCCAAGCACACGTCTATCCTCATCCCGTCGCTCGCAACCGCGTCACACCCGTCCCTTTCAGCATCGCTTTCTCCCTGGCCGACTCAGCGGGGCAACACCGCCGTCCGCCACTTCTCCATTCGGCCACAGAGCCGCGGCATTACGAAGTCCAGGGTACTGCGAGCCCGCTACGCCACCCGTCAACCCGCTGTTCAACACCACGAGAGCGCCAAACCACCAAATACATCGCGTGCTGCACCGCCTTTTTGGCAAGGCTGTCCGCGGACCTGATTCTCTGCATCGTCGCGCTAGACCCCCAACGTGCATTGCACCGAGCTGGTAAGTGCCGTCCCGTCTGTATCGATCGTCAGGCAAAGGGCTTTCCATCTCCGTACCGCCTTTGAACATGTAGTCTACAGCGATACTCATACATCGTGCCTAGTGCCATCTCATTTGATTCCGCTTTCCTTTTTTATGCTAGTTCTCGTCTGAACCCTTCCGCACTGTAATTCGCCCAGCGTCAGGTGACCACGCGATGCATACTTACTTGTCCTAAGATAGAAGGAACATGGTGCTGGAAACGCCGCTGCTCCGGGTGAGCAGACCCGTGGCTGCTTGTTCGCGATGTCGAGCCGCAAAAGTCAAGTGCGATGGAAAGCTGCCCGCATGCACCGCCTGTGAAAAGTCTAATCGGGCCTCTGAGTGCTCGAGCACGAACGATCAGTTTGCGCGCGGAAAAGAACGGAGCTATGTTGCTACATTGGAATCCAGAGTCGAGAAGCTCGAGAAGAAGATCCAGGAAGCACGGGCGAGGCGGAAGTCTTCAGGCGTTCTAATGCTAGACATGTCTGAAAACTCGACCCCGCGTAGAGCGTCTGTGGACACCGTAAAAGCAACTAGACCCATCAGCAAAAGAGCTGCACGACGGAAGGAAGCATCGGAGATTGATGACCTGGTGTCAGACTTCGGTCTTCTGTGAGTGCTCCATGTCTACCTTAATGTGCTGCGCTAACCCACAAGTGCTGTGAATGCTACTGCGAGAGACTTCTATGGCTTCACAACAGAGATGTCTTATGCCCGCTTGATCCGATCAGCGAGCGCAAAGGAGCCGCTACCCGCAGACTTGATCAAGGCACTACCTCCAAAGTATGCAGCAACGCCACTGATTCAGCACTACTTGAACAACATCTTCACTCTTTGGCCAGTCTTCGAAGAGGCTACCCTCTATTCCTCCGTGGATGCCGTCTACCAGCAAGGCGATAATGCGAAACCTTGGGATCGGTGGAGCGTGCGCATGGTTTTGGCCATCGCATGTCTCTCCCAGTCCGAATCGAGAGGTGACACCCACTACTCTGATGCAGTCGGCCACATGAATGCCGCGCTAGAAAATGCCGAAGACGTTTTGCATCCTGGCTACGTTTCTAGCATTCAAGCTTTGATACTTTGGACCATCTATGCTACTATGGACCCGCATCACTTCGATAGCTGGACACTAGTGGGCGCAGCTTCCAGAGCCATGGTCGATCTCGGTATACATCAAGACCCTTCTAAGAATGTTGCAATGTCAAGAGCGAAACTAGAGATCAGGAGAAGAGTGTACTGGTGCGTATACTCGCTAGACAGGTAAAGCCATATCCCATGCTTTCTCCCTCTGCTCGCTAATCATATCGTAGATCAACATCGCTCGTCCAGACTCGCGCCTTTTCGTTCTCAGACGAGGCTGCACACGTCGGCTTCCCATTTTACAACGCCTCAGTATCACCAAAGTTTGCCTCGCCTACATCCCAAGTCTTCCAACAATCTTTCGACACCGCCGTTGATCTCTTTAGGATACGAGAGATACAATCCGAGTGGTATATGGATCTTTTCCAATCTGGTCGCGAGCCTTGGCAAGAACCCTACCAATATATCTGGAAGCAATATAACAGGATGTCGGAGTGGTTTCAGGATATGCCACAGAGCACCTTACCCGCCGTAAAGTCCTTCTTCGAGCTCGAGCTTCTTTACAGCTATGTCTACATTCTCTCACCAAGCCCGCGGATACCCCACATCCACGAGTATGCGCAACGGCTGATCTTCGAGCATTGCATTGCATATGCTACCAATCTGCTGGCCGTATTGGATAAGCCGTCTCACACAGTCAAACCTCCGGTCACCTTCTATGACGCCATGCGTGCGTATATGACAGGCCGACAGTTTGTTGATGTGTTGTCACGCAACATGGAAATGATACTTGACCCAAGACCGCCAGTACCACCAACCCCACTGGCCCCTCAAACAGAATCGGAAGACCCGCTCGCACCACCCGCGCAGATCAGTGCACCACCTTTCCCGTCGCCACTGCTGCCAGAGGGGCAGACTTCGCCGTTGGATCCTACAAATCGGGCGATAAATGCTATCCACGACTACACATCAGTGCTGTCCAAATTTGGATTGAGATTCGGCTTTACCCACTGGCGCGATCGCTTCCAACGAGAGTCAGCCGCTCTCTCCGCGCAGCTATATCAACGCCAGCAAACGTCACCACACACCTCACCTCCAGTACAGCAACTGCCACCACCGGTTGATTATCCTCCGCAATGGCTACCGATGCCGTCCGTCTCGCCGCAAGCGCCAAACCTGATGTATCCTGGCGGCCCAACAACACCGCCTAGTCTCTTCCCACAATCCAGTCCTTTCGCTAGCTCAATGTCTTATACCGGCACTTCGTACGATGGATCTGGACATAGTCCGCAACCGCACGGTATGACCTTCGATGCAAGCCCAGGTCAGCAAACGTGGGCTACCCCGTCGCCGCAGCCGGTGCCTGAGTTACCGCAACCTTCCGGCGGACAGAAGAGGAGAGCGATGGTATATGGCCCGGGCTTACCGGCGCCACATCAGGGGCAAAGTCATAGTCCTGGTGCGTCGTCGATATCAGGACAGGATAGCAATGGGTGGGCGCAGCAGGATCAGCAGCAGCAGCAGCAGCAGCAGCAACAGCAACACGATCCAAACAGCTACTTCCAAGTACCATCTTTACAGCAGCAGCATAGCAATTCATGGACGCAGGATCCGTCGCAAGGGAACTGGGGGTGAAATCGCAGATGGTATACAGTTCTATATACTCATTGATGCTTCGCAAGCTACATAACGCAACGTCTGGTCATCACAGCTGTTGTATTCTCGATGTTCCACCGTTACTTTGAAACCGTCCTTCATCAACGTGGTCGTGTCTTTCATAGTCGTAGCGCATAACAAGCTCTTTGTTTGTGATCGAATAGTATGTATGGCGTACAACTTCCTTGACGTCTCTACTTGGTGGATCTGCTGCCGAGGGGTGAACTGGAACTTCGTTGCTCGATGGTGTGATATTGTGTGTTGCCTGAACTGAGGACGTGCTTTGGAGCATCGTAAATTAACACTACAACAAAACGCATACCCTGGAATTGCTCTTGAGGACATCAGGATATCGAGTCACGACAAGGTCCATGATCTCTTTTGCTTTCGGTTTCTGAATACCTTGGCGATATTGCACAAAGGACACCCACAAATCGCCTTCGTGGGTTCCATCAGACTTGGGCTCCGGTCGTTCCACAATGGCTCTGACAGCTTTCACGACGGCGGGCGGTGGTTTGACTTCAGGCGCAGACTGAACGGAGTACTTTATTAGGTCTAACTCCAACGGGTCCAGAAAGCTTTCCATCAAATCTGCCGTGATCTTGGTACAAGACCCGTGTTGTGTCAAAAGCTTAAAGTTTTCGAGATTGCCAGCCTTCTTGACCATGTCCAGTGTGATCTCGAGATGTGGCGCCCTTGCAAGAAGCAGGCGAAGTATGTCTGAATCGTGATAGCCAATACCAGCAAGTAACGATCGAATAGTCTCGGTTGTAGGCTGCAGATGCGTATTGTCTGCTAGTGCCCGCTTGCAGGCTTGGATCCCAGATGTCGAGGACACTAATCGGTTCAAATCGTTCTCGGTGGCGTTTAGCTTCTGCTCAGTCTTGAGAAGAGAGTCCACCAATCGCTCAGAGAAGTACTTGTCGTCTTGCGATAAGATTGAAGTGAGTGGAGTTTCTCCCTTGCTTCCCTCTGAGTTGAGGTCCGCACCGTGGTCCAGTAGTAGCTGTATTATTGCATGGTCTCCGTTCCCGGCGCAAGCGACATGAAGCGGTGTTCCATGATTTGATGAGAACATGTTGACATTGGCGCCGTGTTGCAGGAGTATTCTGACTAAGCCAGAGTCATGGGATTTACATGCTACATGCAAGGCTGATCCCAGATCAGGTGAAACGATGTCAATGTCGGCACCAAACGTCAGGAGTAATTTGAGCAATTTTTCGTCTCTTCTTTCGCATGCAATGTCCACAGGTGTCCCCTTGCCAGGTATTGACACATTGACTTCAGCGCCATGTTCGAGAAGGACTTCAGTCATTTCGAGATTCCCGTTTTGACAGGCCTTATGTAGCGCTGTCCCAGGGCTGGGAGTTGAAGGATTTGCGAAAGCCTGTAGCCTCTTTTGTTGCGTCTTGTATGTAGGGTAGAGGGGGGTTCCAAGTTCACTAGCTGTCGCGTTTACGTCGATGTGACGCTGTAGCAGTAAGGTAACTACCTCCAAACTAGCACCTTCGATTCCAGCGATCAACGCAGACCCGAATGAGTCATGATGCTGGTTGATGTCAACACCGAGCTCAAGACAGACTTGAACAACTTGTAGCATTCCCAGGTAAGAAGCTAGGTGTAAGGTGCCAGCTGTAGCGCAGATATGGCTGTCGTCAATCTGCGCAAGCTTCATTATAGCTTCATTGGTAGCGGATCGGGTATTGTTGCATGTACATTCCTTCTCTGGCTGGCCTGGAAGCGAGGGGTACAGGAAAGAATCTTTGGCCCAAGTCTCGCAGCATAGGCTGATAAGGGACCTCCCTGTCTTCGATTTTATAGGCATGAGACCTTCGAGGAGGGCGTAGACTGGGGAATGATATCCTGACGGGAAGGGTTGCGGTATTACTACAATCGGCAAGAGCCTGAAAAGAACGTTGAAGCTCTGGAAGTAGGCTGCTGCCTGAAGCACCGCAGGCTTCACATCAGCCGCTTTGATCGAGCTGTCCAGCAGAAGCTCAATACTTTGTTGAGCCCCTAGAGCTGTAAGGTCGACAAGCAGCTTTTCGGAGTTCTGCAAGGTATCGACATGGAGAACAAATCTGGCGTCTTCTTGCCAAGCGCGCATGTAAGCAGGCACCTCTTTACAGGCATGGATGAAATCGTCTGTACCCAGCAGACGAGCAATAACGAAGTCGATGACATCCTTTGGTTTCTCTCCTACGACAAGTGTCCTTAAGATGTTGATGGCTCGCTCAGCATCGTACAAGGTGGCTCCCGCGGCCAGTAGGATTTTCATTGTTTCGAGATTTCCAGCAGTGGCAGCACTTGTCAGTGGAGATAAAGACTGCCCAGACTTCTCTTCGACGTCTACCCCATACTCGATTAATAGTGCGGCAATATCTGCGTGGCCATTTTCACAAGCTTCGTGTAGCGCTCTCGACATGTCCATAAACTGAGTACGCCTCGTCTCTGTCTGGTCGGGCTTCAAGGTGTTATGTTCCGGGTGAAAGAGCAAGAGTGTTGCTATCTCGATGTTACCGTTGTGGCAGGCAAGAGTCAACATCGAGCGAACTCCTCCTCCGTATTCCGTCGATACTTGATCAGTGGAGATGTTACACGATTGCATGGCACCCAAATCGAGCAAATAGTGCACGACCGCTAGGTATTGGCCTTCTACTGCCGCGCGTAGTGGGGTCCAGTGAGATATACCTGCGGTCAGAGCAATCTCGGTGCCAGCCTCCACAAGCAGTTTGACGCATTCCAGATGACCGAATCGAGCGGCAGCATGCAGTGCAGTTCCATAGTGGTGAGCTACAGCCTTGACATCAACATTCCGCTCTATGAGTAACTGTACGAGCTCCATATCGCCGTCTGCTGACGCCATTTGGAGTAGGAGAGTAAATCCAGTCGCAGTGGCCTGTAGGTCAGGTTGTGACTGCAAAAGGTATCGTATGGCGGCTCCCGGACCAGTAGTCAACACTTGGTGAACAGATTCGGACTCGATGAAACCCTCCCTGAACGTTGAAAGCGTGGCGTCCAAAAGTAGAGTTGGAGAAGTGCGGGGCGCTGATCGGCTGGTTGCATGTGCCTCAGCTTTGGTCAGAACCTCGAAAACAGCGAGTGAGTCGATTTCTCTCCATGCAGCGTAGAATAGAGGCGTTCTGTTGGCCTTGTCGAGTATATCAATCGCTGCACCATTCTCTAATATCATCTGGACCGTTTCCAAGGGACAACACAGAGCCGCGGAATGTAAAGCGCTTCGCCCATGACTGTCGATGGCATTGACATTTGCTTTTTTGTCCAATAGTAACTCGATCACGGCTTGTTGTTTGCTAAGAAAGTTTCGTTTCTCGTCGCGGAACTCCTCGATTCTATCATGCGTGCTTCCATGGATTCGATCACATTGCGGGGTGGCTTGAAGGCAGGCCTGTAGTGCTGTCCTTGGCCAGACTTCATTCTTAGTGACTCCGTCCCTCTTCCGAGACGTTGAGTAGTAACCACCGGGTCTGGAAGGTTGCACGGCTTTCTCAACAAGTGCGTTGACATCAACTCCGCGTTCGATGAGATACGACACCACCACAGCATGTCCATTTGCACATGCTTGGTCCAGAGCCTGCGACATCAAGAGCTTATGGTCGACAACTTGACATAACCGTATTTCCCAAGTGTCCATTGCGGAGGCGTAGCCTCGCTGCGCAGCTTCAACGAAGTGTCGTGCAAACACTGAGTCCTCTTGCCAGTTCAATGTTTGGGTACACAGATAAGAAATGAGTGCACTGTGTTTGGTAATAGCTGCACCTTGGAAAACCTTCCAGTAGTCTTGCAACTGGTAACCATGATCGCTGTTGTGTGCCAAGAGGACGTAGAGCGCGCGAAAAGATGAATGCCCTTCCGCTTGAGCACAAGCCTTTTTGAGCACGGTTGCATGAACGACAGGGTAATGTCGAAGGAGTACTTCTAAGGCTCGTTCGCTATCAGACTCAATCGTGATCCCAAGAGCGGCCACGAGTACATCCTGTAACTCTGATTCTGCAGCCAATTGCAGTGCAAACTCTACTGTCGCTGGTGTATTGGCTCGACATCCTAGTAGAAGGATTCTCATAATATGGCCGTTCCCAGTCGTTTCGTTCGTCTTGACCACTTGGTACAGAACGGGAAAATAGTCCGACCACCGGCTTTCCTTGTCACTGGACACTTCTTCAAGTTGCCTGTATCCCATTGGGAAGTCATCATCTTTGCAACTTTCCTCAACCAAGAGCCTTCTGCTCGTAAGTAAAGGTATGAAATCCTGTCCCCTCGGCGTGAACGGAGCATAACGTGAGTGTGGTGGAGGACCATATGCTTCCTCACATTCGAGAAGCCGCTTCGTAACGGCGACATGCCCATACCAAGCTGCGCGCTCCAATGCTCGTGGAATGTGTTTTCTTGGTAGGTCCGGTAACAGGAGAATGTAGTCAACAATACCGAGTCTACCAGCCGCAGAAGCTGCCTTTAGCACGATGCCGATGTCAAGCAACGAAAGCCCAATGGCGAAGCGGTGGTCCAACATACTTCTGACGATAGATTCTTGACCAGTCTCTGTAGCAAGAAGCAAAGCTTGAGATCCATACCCTTGGTGTTGCTTAGAGTCCGCGAGTTCTGTAACACTTTCGACTTCGACACCGTCATGGACCTTCTTGTATGCCTCTTCAAAGCTGACATCTCGTCCTCTGATCACCTTCGCTCGATCTGCCTGTCGAGTGCGCCGAGAATGATATGCAGAGTCAAGCTCTGATAGTAGATCAACGTGCGATGGAGGACCCATCTTCCTATGGCGCATCGTCACCTCATTCACCTCATCCTCATCCAGGAAATGTGGGCTTCGGTAGCCGCTTCGTAGAAGCATATTCGCAATGGGATGATCGCCTGCCGATACCGCTGCGCTCAGAGCATCGTTGAACAGACCTTTTTGACCGATAGAAGCGCCTGCTGCAAGGAGGGCTTTTACAACGTCGATGTGACCGCGATACGTGGCTGCCTGCAGCGCATTGCCGTAGTAACCACCAGAGTTGTCCACAGCTGCACCACTTCTTATCAGCGTTGTGGTGATAGATAAGTGACCTCTCATCGCGGCTGCTTGAAGCGCATCGCCGAATGTTCCGTTTGCATTGACTGCCGCATTTTTGTCGAGAAGTAATCGCACAGTCGTGCCATGGCCCATCAGGCTTGCTGCACGAAGTGGCGTTCCGAAGGGTCCTTCGTGCTCGATGTCGAGACCCTTGTCGAGGCAAAATTCGATGATCTTGTTCTGGCCGTCGAATGCAGCCGTTGCGATGGCGTCGTTAGGCAGCGCTTTGGTTTTGAAGTAGTTTCGAAACCGATCGATTTTACTATCTTGGAAAACCCTGATCGCGTCTTTGATTGAAGATTTTTTAGTCCCGCTGGGTGACTTCGATGTCGAGTGCAGGGAGTCCATGAGTTCTGTGAAGCCCATTCCTGCGGCAGCTTCAAAGACTCGGTCAAGGGTATCTTGCGAAAACGGCAAAACACTCTTCTCTAGAAGTATCACTGCAACGTCCTCATGGCCGTTACGTAAAGCAGCTTGTATAGCCGAAACTATCGTTTCAGCTGTGGTATTTCGAGATGGGAACTCAATGATGAGCTGCGCAATGTCTCCGTGGCCATTGGCACATGCAGCTTGAAGTGGAGTTGCGCTACGTCCCCCTTCAATTGCAATATCGGCACCCAGCTTTAGTAGGCTATTCACCACACGGATTTGACCCGTAGCTGAGGCCAAGTAAAGACCAGTAAGTCCATGCGAATTCTTCTGATTGACATCAAAAGATGATCTTCCGGACAGGATTTCGATGGCAAATTCTAGCCCGTATAGACATGCAGTGAAGAACGGAGTGGCGCTTTCGCTCCCGATGGCAATGAGATCCGAGAGACGTGTGTGTGGCCTGGATAGCGCCTTTACTATCTCACCAACTGTCTCGATCCAGGATGGAAAAGGCGAAATGTACTCTTGATCAGAGAACATGAATTCTTTCAAGACATCTACTAGACGCCCATTACGGTCATGTTCGCTTGCGGCGTTGTAGTGGAGCGGCCAGTACATCGCTGCATACACGTCGAAATCGTGAGAAGGTTGAACACCGAGTGTCAGATCGGGGAGTGGGCTGTCGATACATCTAATAAGACAGCTCGAAGCGGCTGCACTATTAGCGTCCATCATGCTGAATGCCGGGAGACGCGACAAGTATTCTTGGACCGAAGCATGGGCGAATCGGATCGTGTCGAGCTCATCATCGAGAACCACGAGATGAGAGCAGATTCGGAGTAGATCGGAAAGCTCCAGAGAGCTCTGAATTCCGTCTCGTGTGATGGATGCTGCGGCAAGTAGTGTTGCGGGTGACAAGGTTTCGTGCAGACACATGATTAGCCGGAAAGTTTGTGCTGCTACCTCGTACGCCAGAGGATCCGTTTTGAGGATTTGATCAAAGATCTTAGCATACAGATGATCGACAGTATGGATGGAAGCTCCAGAAGGATCTGACATCGCTTGCTCGATACTGCGTTTCCACTTCAGGTCGCAGAAATGCCTCAATTGGAGCTCCACCCATCGGAACCTGTTAACCTTATCAGTCCATACCAAAGTATTCTGAGAAACAAGACTCACATTCCATCCGCTCGGTCGAGAAGATATGATTCCAGTCTTGATTGAAGGGGAGGGTCTTCTTTGCCATCAAGAAGATGCTTGTTGTTGACCGCGGTCGAGATGCAATGTCCAATGAATTGTTGCATGTCAGCTTGGGTAAGTGACGCTTGTAAGCGCAGTTCCGTTGCCCCTTCTAGCCACCGGGAAATGTTGGTGTCATCTCTACTGGACAGCAGCATCTTCACTATACGGACTGGATCATCTCGAAGCGCTATCAGCTCATTTAGCAGAAGATGTCTGTCCGCCACGTCTATCTCGTCGATGGCATCAATTATGATGGTTACCTGATCGGTTTGGAGAAGTTCGGCTATCCAGTGTGTGCATTCGTGTGGTTCGAGTTTGTCCATATTTCCCATGCCAATCTTCCCCCTTGCCTCTCTCCGCTTGAACTCTAAGTGAACTTGTTCGACGATCTCAAACGTTTCTTCGTTCTGAACAGAGAGTTGCCTTAACAAACTTCGCATCACGTCCTTCGCATCGCATTTGCCGCCGTGTCCTTGGATGTCGCCGCAATAGTAATACAAAACAAATGATCGTACACTAGTACCCTGCAGTGATTCATCGATCACTGCAGACATCAGGTTGGTTTTTCCAGAGCCCAGAATGCCGCGAAGCCACAGAAGCGATGAAGATGCACTGCTTTTCCAGTCGATATAACGAGAATCGTTTGTAAGCCATTGGGTGGTACCGCGTAACCGGTTTTTGGAATGGCGAGTATGATGTTCTCTGTATGGTGTCAATGACAGCCATGCAATGAAGTCGCTGAACGATTGTGCTTTTAGCGAAGTCATGATGTTCTCGTTGATTCGCATAACATCCGTTCGTAAAAGTCGTTGGATGTGTGAGTCACACATGCTGGCTAGCTGTCGAATTTCGGTGTCATGCTTAGCTATTTGCCGAAGTCTCTCACTCTGCGAAGTTGAAAATGCGCCTTTTATTGTACGTTCTGCTGCATGTCAGAGATTGGCGCCGAGAAGTCAGACGTGAGACTCACTGGTAACATCGTTATTGGAATAGCGTATGCTCTCCCCAAGAAAGCTCAGGATGTGGACATATAGTCCGAGGACTTTGCTGCGAATCTGGGTATGGAGTTGGAAGTTCGAGTCCATATATAGGGTTTCCACAGCAGCATATGTAGCAATGGTCTGTGTGACAATCTCAATCCCCTCGATCGTAGCTTCCAGATACTGCTTGTCGTCGACGGCAACTTGCAGCAGGAACCGAACAGCTGCCCAGGGTAGACTAGCCGCACCTGAATTGAATTGCACGGCGATATCACCCACGGCTTTGTAATGGTCAATCCACCGAATAATCTTTCCCAGCACGTCACGTAATATGACCTCTTTCCCACGAATGGTCATCTTCCATCTCTTGGCAGCTAGTACTCTCTGTTGGGTGACGGCCTCATCCAACACGGCATCAACTATGCGACCGCTGCCTGTGTTGACGGTCGCGAGGATCTTTTGTATTCTGGGATCGAGTTTTGCGTTTGCAGTGTCCCAAAGTGATGAGGTCGAGTTGGTATTGCTACCTGGGGCTAAAAGGGACGTAGTTCCTGCCGCATTGGCTTGAGTAGTAGCCGACATGCTGAGGCTATTCGCTATCGAGGGTTTTCGCTATCGAGGGCTTTCGACTAAGTGTGCGCTTGCGTTCTGTCTCGCCACTCGCCCCTAGATCTTAGGCGTAAGATTGGTCCAAGTAAAACGGAACGCATCTGCTAGGCTTCCAACGTGTATAAGCAAAAGGTGAATGAGATTCTTTGATGTTGAAAAAGGCGGAGTGCAGAGGTGCATGGTGGAGTAAGAGGTAACTTAGAGCATGGGGCGCAGCGTAAGCCTCCATCTAACACCCATGTTATGGACCCCATCTCCTCCACGGAGGGCTTGATCTGAGATAACAGCCCCCAGACGATTGCTGTGCAACGCTGCGATGCAACATAGTTGATTACCGGCACAGCAAAGTCCCAAAGGCTACCGGTGAGCTACCTGGGGACCATTCCTTCGAGGCTAGGAGAGGCGGAGCAGCGGTGAGCTAAGCATACCGCGTCTGCTGACGCGATACAGAGGAATAAGAAGAGGACGCAGATCATGCGCAATGACGTTACATATAAGGCCGCGGAGGACGTAGATGGAATCGTGGTGGTGTCGCGAAGGATGGGCACGACGCGTACGCGTCCTAGCTGGGAGGATCGCCAGGGCTGCACCGACAGGCAGGCACGACCCCCACTTGACGCGGGGCATCCGCCGCTATCTCTGCTCAGCGCCCATCAACCAATCTGACACCCAACGAAATGCCTTACCTCACCCCCGCGCACGCATCGCAATACCGCGCAACACATTTCCAACTCCCAAACCCTCCCTAGCCCTCCTTAAAACCACCATCACGATGTCCACCCCCCTCGAACGCGCCCTAACCGCCATCGACGCAGCCCACGCCGAAGACCCAAATAAAGTCACAATCAACAACACCTCACTCCCCTACGAACTCCACTACGCGCAGAAATGCACTTCCTACCTCAAGAAACGCGCCCCCGAAGCGTCCGAGCCCCTCCGCATAGCCATCCGCGCCCAACACTTCCGCCGCTGGGAAGTGCCCCGAGCCAGCTACCCCATGACCCGGCCAGGCTACCACGCCTGGCGCACGTTCCTAAAGAAACGACAAGCGGAGCTCGTCGAGCAAATCTGCCTCGATGCCGGATACACCGCTGAAGACGCGTCGACAGTTGGCAGTTTGATCCGCAAAGAAGACCTCAAGGTGAATGAGGAGACGATGGTGTTGGAGGATGTGGCGTGTCTGGTTTTCCTGGACGACCAGTTCGAGGCGTTTGAGAAGGAACATGACGAGGAGAAGATTATTAAGATATTGCAGAAGACGTGGGGGAAGATGACGGAGAGGGGGCATGAGCTTGCGTTGGAGATTCCGATGGGGGAGCGGCCGAGGGAGGTTGTTATGAAGGCGCTGAAGGGGAATTGAGATGGGAGTGGAATGAAAAGAAATGAAAATTGAATTGAATTGAACTGTGTGATGTTCGTTCATGATTTGAGTGTGAACTTCGTTATGTTTGGGTATCGTTCTGAGCCTGTGATATCTTCTTCCCTCCTCTTGTAACCAATAAATCCGCGGGTCGAAGCCTAAGCTCCGCCCTCCCTCTTGGCGTACTCCTCCTCCATCGCCTCCTCGTACCGCTTCTCGGCTTCCTTCTCCTGCTCAGTCTTCTCGCCGTTGTTCGCGTTCGCTAGAGCTCGTGAAGCGGCGTTCTGTATGTCATTCTGAGCCTGCGCAGCAGCTGAAGATTGGGTCGCTGGGGTGGACTGCGAGGTTGCGGACGGCATTGGGACGGGCATCTTGGTGGTTGAGTTTGGTGGTGTTTGTAGTGTGTAGGATTTGAGTGTTCTGTTTGAGATGGAAGTGTTGCTGGGGTTTGGATATGGAAGATGAGAGGCTTGCAGGAACGTGTGAGGGGCTATATACTACTATACGAATGACTAGTGTTGCGTCATTGTGGCGGTGCAAGTGTGGCTGGAATCTTCCAAAGAACGTGATTCGCCACTGATCTTCGTTAGGCGACTTCGGCATGTGAAGACCGTTGGCAGGTGCTGTTTGCATACTATGATGCGTTTCCACTCTAGGAGGATTGTCTTCAATGTCATTGAAGAGCCATGCATTCAATGTCAAATTATGAAGTTGACGTGGTGGCATCGACATGGACGGTCGCAATACAAGAACCCTTCGTTTCTCTTACCACGATCAACGCTTGTTCTGTGCTTATTGCTTACAGTATTACTGATATTTTCAAATCGATATGTTGTTCTATACAAGCATTTTGCTTCTGTCTATCGCATTTTGCGCTTCTCTAGGAGATACTACCAAAATACTCACTAGGTCTCCCACGCCAACACCGACGCGGCTGCACTCCCATGCACATCCCCATGTACCTACATCCACCAGCTCACCTCTCGCGATGGCGAAACAAGGCCATCCTACTGAAGGCCCTGCCTATTCAAGCTGGGCCCTTGCAGCGATATCGTCTGCATCTCTCTCCACTACATCCCAGTGCCCACCCCTCCATTCCCTATACGGCAGCGTCAGTTGCTACGATCCAAGCACAGAGCAATGCTGCGGCAAGAGGGGCATTTGCGAAATCACCCAAAACTGTGTCGAGGTCCAGCTAAACAACGGCACTATGGGAACAGGATGCTGCCCCGGTGGGACGTCCGCCTGTAATGGGATCTGCTTCGACGTATCCACATCCAAGTGCTGCGCTGCACCCGGTGGCACGCATGGACTTTGCTCTGCGAATCAAGACTGCTGTGGGAACATGTGCTGCGATGAAGGTGCGGTTTGTGCCAATGGATTCAACGGTCCGATGTGCTGGCAAAAGCATGATAAAGGCACTGAGGAGATTGAGGACCACGCCTTTATTCCACCAATTATTCCCGTTCCGAGTACGCAAAAGAGCGGTAGCGTGAGGATCAAAGCTCCCGGAATCTTCCACGCTCTATTGTTCTTGGCCCAGTTTGTGGCTGGTAGTTCCGAACAGGCCTTTCCCGCGACGCGCCTCCAATCGCTGCCAATACCGCACGGCATACGAAGCCCTGACATGGGCAATTTGACATCATCTCTGAACAAGCGCTCATCTTGTGAGCCATTGGAACCTTGTGGCAATGGCTGTCAATATAAACCATCAAAGTGCTGCTTCCGGGAGGATGGTACGTCTGGTTCATGTAACGCAGGCGATGTGTGCTGTCAAGAGTACTGTTGTCCTTCCAATACCATATGTATGATCGCATCTGTGCTGCACAGTTCCGGACCATGGTGCTGGCCGCCAGATTTACCGAGAGCAACAGCGAACGTGCCATACGATCCGTTTCCTTGGCCTCACGATGTGGACGGGGTAGGCTTCAAGAACACTCGTATCAAGAACGGGTTCGCTGTAATGCGACCATCTGGTGTACTTTGCGTAATCATTTTCTTGCTGTCATTGCTGGTTGCAAGCTCCGCCCTGGAATCAGTGTCGATCAATCTCACTACAAAGACTGTGGACGGGCTGCCGATGACTGTTCCCATTACTATGCCGACAAACCCGCCGATCGAAGTGGATGTTGACGTTGACATGTCCCAAAAGAAAGGTGGCGGTGGTCATGGCGGAGGAGGTGGAGGTGGAGGTGGTGGTGGTGGCCATGGCGGTGGAGGTGGTGGCGGCGCAAAACCTGGTGGAGGTGCTCCTGGAGCTTCCCCTGGAGGTCATCGCAACACAGCAGCACGGCCGGCCATCCCATGGCTCTTTCAATTTCTGGTCTGAAAGATGCCTTTCATGATGTCAGCTATTACCCTGCGGTATTAGCAGCAGGCGAAACCTTCGAGTCAGATCTGAAGCATGTGCAATAATCGTCACAGGTGTGTTTGGGCTGTCGGTCTGAGATTGCGAGCGAAAGGGTAGCGGCGAGTGCGCATTGTCTTGATTGTTTGTTCTTGCTGTGTACGATGAATGGGCACAGATACCATGCAGATGTAAGGCTGTTGGTGAATTTGTTTAGCCAATTTGAAGGATGTAGATACTGGCCATCGTGTCAGTACAAACGAAGTGAAGCACGTGAAACTTTGCAAAGACATCGATAGGCTCAGACTTGCCTTTTTTTATATCGAATCAATGGCACCAAATGCGTAGAGGATATCCTATCTATTGCTAGATAGGAAAGCCCCGAGGATAAGCATTGGTGCCTCAACCGCTTGCTCGGTTTGTAATCACAGCCAAAGGGAAAAGGGAAAATGAGAACAAAAGAGTGACTGACCTTATTGACTTAGAACATGCGTGCCTTTCGTCTTGCCCGTCTCCATTTTGGCAGTGCGAGCGCCGAATTGTATCGCACGCTTCTTCTCTGCAGCTACTCTTTTCATGCCCAAGTGCCATGCCAACAAACGAAGTGCCCGCTTCCCAGGCTCGAGCAGCCGTGCAGGGTCTTCGCTATCGGTGATTTGCTCCAGGCCGAAATCGCATTTGGACGTCACCGGAAGACGGAGGGTTAATGCTATGAAGTCTTCGTCCAGGAAAGGAAATCGGACTTCTCTACTGCTGTTGCTGATCACGCGATCATCACGACCCAAGTTTCTCTTTCCCAGACGACTGAAGTCGAGTTCAAGCTCTTCGATTAGGCCAGGGTATCCGCGCCGAGCAAAGGCTGTAGCGTGTCGTTGGTACCCACCGAAGAGCTCATCAGCACCGAGTCCGGAAAGAAGTACGTGCGCGGTAGTGGAGTAGGGCTCAGCTTTAGCCTTGCCCACAACGTGCGACAAGCCGACTCCGCGGGAAGCGAAGTAAAGTGCATATGATATGGACAGATCCATTTCTGTGTTGTGGGGATGCATCAATGCCATGACGGTGCTGCGATGAGCTTGTGTCTCGGTGTAGGGTACGTTGACCTCGACGAAACGCCACTCACGTCCAGGACAGATCTCTGCCAGCTCTGCAAGGGATGATCGTCCAGTGACACGGTCGGGACAGAGCTCGTAGGGACTGGCGTCTGGCTCGAGATTGGAGTGAATTCGAGGATTCTCAAACGCGACATTGAGTAGGTCGACAGGTTCGCTTAGTGGTACTTGGTCGTGACACATGCGCGCGAGGATTGTGCAGTCCAGGCCACCAGAGAAAAGAACGGCTACGCGTGTTTCCCCCGAAACTCCAAGCTTTGATTCTCCAGTCACTGCCTCACGTATGTGTTGAGTGCGCAGTTGAAGTGATCTTTCCAACGCCGCCCTTAGCTGTTCTACTGCCCCAGCATCCTGTGAAGCAGGGTTACTGTCGATAGTCTGGTTCATAGCTGGAAACGGCAGAGTCTGAATCTGTTAGCAGAAGTCGTGTGCCAGATGACTTACCTACGAAAGACAACTCAGAGTCCTCTTCTTGATCTGAGCGGCGATGCGGAACTCTCGTTACTGGGAACGAGTCTGACGTTGGGTCTGCCAGCTCTACGTCTACAACATAGATACCATCGGCTTCCACCTCAGCCCAAGACTCACCAGAGGCATTATCGCACACGCTAGAGAGTACAAGGGTGCCATCAAGAGTAGACTTTTGGAGCAGCGATCGCCTTCCTAGGCAGTCGCGTCCGTAGTAGATTCTTTGGTGCGATGCATCGTAAAAGACGAGAGCATAGGGGCCTCGCACGACTGACAGCAGCTCGATGACACGTCGCATAGACGCCTCGCGCGTTCCAGTACATGCGTCTAGAAGTTTGGTAAAGACTAGCTTAGAGTCATTACCATCAATTGCCTGTCCGGCAATGCTCCATGCCTCGCCGTTCCAGCAGAGGACGGAGCCGGTCGTATCATCCCTAAGTGGCTGCTCAACGATGTCGTTGCCGCGGAGAGCAAGAACCGTGGACAGGAAAGTCGCGTGAAGACGCGTTGAGACGTCCTTGGCGCTGGATTCGATGATGGTCTGGTGCTGCCCTGTGCTGTCTGGCCCTCTATTCCGGAGTAGTCGCTGGGTGTTGGCGTCAGGTATCACGTGTCCAGTCTGACTGAGCGAGAAGAAGATGCCGCACATGGCTGGGCTGATGAAATGGCGATGCAGGTGTGGTGTTGGCAGTGGCACGGCTGCAGTTGCTTGACGCGCTAGCGGCGGTGGCTCGGAGACTCGGCTTCTAGATGCCGGGAGACCATGCGGACGATTCACACACGCAGGCGCAGCAGACGTCAATCACCAAGGCACTTGACTTATATTTCCCCTGCGAGAGCTGTCGTGAGCTCTGTTCCAGACCCATGGACGCTTGATCAACCACCCACAACCCATCCATAATCTCCCGTCGCACTCGGTCTATGTCTCCCCCGAACGCAACTCCGCAACCCGATGCAGCCCGCGACAGCCACGCCGAAAGGGAGCTAGACAAGCTGGACGACCAGCACCATGTAGCCACGAGCAACCAGAGCGCGCCTTCCGTAGGGCAGCCCACAGACTCTAAAGCACCGACGGATGACGCGAACACGGCGACGGACGCGGGGCAGCCTAGCCATGTCGAGGCCCAAGACGAGGGGCATGCTGGCAAGGAAGAGCCGACAGATGGGGTAGAGAAAGCACCTGAAACATCAGAGGAGACGAATGCTGCCCCAACAGGTCTCGAGGAACCCCAAGAGAAGGACACAGAAGCTGCGCAGCAAGCATCTACCGCGCCGATAGACGAGCTCACCACCAAGACAGAGAACACGACGCTGGACCGAGCATCAACACCACCGCCAGAGCTCAGCGAGAAATCAGCAGGGAAAGCGCCCATACAATCGCCGTCGCCTCCACCTCCTCCACCCAAAGACGACAAATACCTCACAACCAGCAACGTGCCCAGCCGAACCACATCCCCAATGTCGCAGGAACGATCGAGTGGAAGAAACTCGGAAGATGCTGCGGCCGACGACTATGGGACGAACCATGACGGTACAAGCGACGCGGTAGACAACTCGCAGGAGGAGATACAGAGCATCATGGATCAGTTCCAAGGGGACGGTGGGCCTGGCGAGAATGAGATCATGTCGCCTAGACTGGAAATCGCGAACCCCATGCTGGAGTCGCCGTCGACCCCGTACCCCCCGCGACGATCAAGTCTCGTGCCGCTCGACAAGCCCCTTCCCATTCCGGCTGACGATTCAGCCTCGACCGCCCCGCTCCAATCACCACCTCCTCGCACCTCCTCCTTACATCGCGTCGGCACCGGCACATCCTTCGCCGAACCGTCATCGCCCAGCGCACATGCCTCGAAGTACAAGCCAGCGCAGCCAGCACCCGAGCCCGAACCAGACCTACCCTTCGACTTCCACCGCTTCCTCGAACAACTACGCCACCGCACAGCAGACCCCGTTGCCAAGTTCCTGCGCTCTTTCCTGCTTGAGTTTGGAAAGAAGCAATGGATGGTACACGAGCAAGTCAAGATCATCGGTGACTTCCTCGAATTCATCAGCAAGAAGATGGCACAGTGTGAAGTTTGGCGGACCGTCTCGGACGCCGAGTTCGACAACGCGAGAGAAGGCATGGAGAAGCTAGTCATGAATCGGTTATACACGCAAACATTTTCTCCTGCGATCCCGCCTCCAGAGCCAGCATCACCCCGCAAGGGCCGACGGAGACAGGAGCCGCCTGGACCAGGCCGAAGGGGGCAGCACCAAGAGGATGTAGAGCGAGATGAAGTCTTAGCGCAGAAGGTGCGCATATACAAATGGGTCAGCGAAGAGCATCTGGATATCAAACCGGTAGGCGACAAGGGCCGCAAGTTTTTGCATCTCGCCCAGCAGGAGCTATTGAAGATCAAAAGCTACCGGGCGCCTAGGGACAAGATCATCTGCATCTTGAACTGCTGCAAGGTCATTTTTGGGTTTTTGAGAACGTCAAACTCTGATCAATCAGCCGATGCTTTCGTACCACTACTCATTTACACAGTACTACAAGCGAACCCCGATCATCTCGTCTCCAATGTACAATACATTCTACGGTTCCGGAATCAGGACAAGCTTGGGGGAGAAGCTGGCTACTACATATCATCATTAATGGGCGCCATCCAGTTTATCGAGGGTCTCGACAAGACATCATTGACAGTAACCGATGAAGATTTCGAGAAGAATGTCGAAGCGGCCGTCTCCGCCATTGCCGAACGCCACGCAGCTGAAGAGGCTGAATCTTCATCTTCGTCCGCACTATTGCACCCTACTGCGCCTGGCCACAAGCGTATGCCATCACCCCATTATCATCATATAGCGGAAAAGACAACACCGCTGCGACCAGAGCTCACACAAAGAAACTCAATGGAGGCAGAAACCGCAGGGCCACGACGATCAACAAGTCTGAAGGATCGCAAGTCCGAAGCGGAGCAACCAGAGGAAGAGAACGCAGCCGTCGCAGGCCTACTGCGAACAATACAACGGCCGCTCAGCACCATCGGTCGTATCTTCTCCGACAACGACACAAACCATCCGTCTGGACCTGCAGCGGCCCAGAAACCACAATTACCGCCACGTGCGTCAACAGAGTTTCCCGGCAACATGAGCGAGAAGCAACGCCCGTCGCATGACGAAGACCGGCAAAGGCAGAGGTTGACGGCTGAAGACGCCGCAGCGCGACAGGCTTCAGCTGAAGCAGAGGAAGCGAGGCGGATTCAACGGCAGGAACACAAAGTCGTAGTCGAGACGCTGACAGGCATGTTTCCCCAGCTGGACCGGGATGTCATCGACGATGTCGTGCGGCAGAAAGAGGGCCGGTAAGCTCTTTTACGATTCATTCCATGCATGTTGACAAATACTAATGCTTGTCTAGGGTCGGTCTTGCAGTCGACGCATGTTTAGCATTAGCGAATCCTTGATAGACTTATTCATCTTCTCGGTCGAGTTCTTGGAGAAACTTGGCCTTTTCATAGTGAACCAAGAGCTATTTTACGTTGCATCATTTACACCATTCATCAGTTCCATATCTTACTTGTGCTCACCGCAGCAAACGCTTAAATATGCCACCTGCTCGTCGTTCGCAGTTTTGTAGTTCGCGTGGGCCTTAAGAGCACATGACTCTCCATTGGGACACATGGCAAACGATGGAAAGATATCTTGGTACGCATTTCCACAGCTGACGCGATGCTATGTGATATCCTACGCGGAAAACAAGAGCGTTTACTATGACATGTGCATGTTCGCGTTTGTATGCTTTGAACTTCTCTATCAGGTCTTCCTCGTTCTCTAATATCTCTTACTCTTTCAACATCAATTCCACGTTCAAGCATTGCTTCTACAGGCTGCTTCTCATGAGAAAGCCGAGATTGTCTTGCTAAACACAGCGACGTAGGTTCAGCGCCCTGTCGGTAAAGATGGTCGGTCACCACCACTCGCTCCTGCCTAATTCGCGCGGGCCACCGATCGAACGCGAACTGCGCGCTCTTTCACTTTCACTTTCACTTTCACTTTCACTTTCACTTTCCCACCATCTGATCTCGAGCTCACCTGATTCAATGACGCAACACTGCCTCGCTTATTTCGCACAGCCGATACTTTGTTCCGCGATAGCAAATTTGGTGTCGCGATCCAGCGACCCTGCCTCCCTCAACACTACCACCCGACATACCCACATCTTCCTCATATCTTGAACTCCTACTACTTCACTCATCTCTTGATTACTCCTGGTACACTCAGTCACTTTTTTTGCGCTTCGCGCACCCCACCGCCATCATGTATTCCATGTTCCTGGTCTACGCTCTTCTCCTCATTGTACTGTCCTATCTTCCTGTCGCCCACCATGTCTCTGACGTGTTGTTTCGCCATGTCCTCCACATCAATATCTTCGAGTTTGGGCTGCAAAAGCATCCCTCTGAAGACATCATTGCCCTTCTGTGAGTAATACCCAAGTGTGAACCATGTGTAGGACGTACACTGACTCCATAAACCATATTTCAGGCGAATGAACGCACTTTGCGCCTTACTCGCCCCACTAATCACCTACCTCTACTCCCTTTGCTTTCCCTCTCGCCACTCCGACAAGGAGCGCCCATCAGATTGCTCGATCGACATCACATGGATCGTAGGATCTCTTCATGGGATGCTAGTCTGGTGTTTTGGCAAGAAGAAACCCCAGACATTGTCTCTCTCCGATTGTAAGCAGTTCTACAGAAGCTTCTCGAAGATGGTAGATCTGTCAGACGCGAGGAAGAAAGCCTCCAAGATGTCGCGGAAAGACCTCCACCGGATAAACCGGAACAATGTCAGCCGTCGCTTTCATAATAGCAAGATTCGCCTGGACCGGGAAAAGCTTGAAAAGATCCAGCACGCCTTGGAAAACAAGAAGCTCTCACTGTCGGTTACTGCATTGGACGACGTCATCAACTCTCTCTTCTCCGACCTTGCCAAACCTTCAGCCTACGCTTCATTGCACACCCCAAACTTGGACAAGCTCAAACAAGTACACGAGTCTGTTACACGGTCCGATGCGACCAAAGACAGCCGAATTCGTACACTTGTGGCCGGTCACAACGACATGTCGGAAGAGCTTCGCCACAAGAATGCAGAGCTCGACATCGCTCGGACCGAAGCATCTGATCTAAAGGATGACTGTCAACGATTGGATGCGCAACTGCAAAAGCTGGCCGACAACAAGTTCAACATCGAAGAATCATTTCGCAAATGTAGGTACGACCTGCGACAGGCTGAGTTCAACCTCACCGAGAGTTCTCGGAGAGTGGCGAATCTCGAGACTCAAATTGAGCGAACGCGTATGTCCGCACGAGATGCCGACGAGCGCGCAGAAAGCATCAACGACGAACTTCAGGATGCAAACCGCCAGCTGAGAGACTCCGAGCGCGAACGTGCAAAGCTTGAGGACGAGCGCGATCGACTTCAGACTGAGTTGAAGACAGCCAAAGAGCAGCTGAACGGTGAAGCGGGTCTTGAGAAGAAGACTCGTCATCTGGACGCTGCCCACGAGCTCGTTCGCCAGCTCAAAGATGAAATCTCGGCTCTCAAAGAGCAACACGCAGATGTCGTCTCCAACAAGGAGAAGGACCTGAGAGAACTCCAAGAGATAAACAAGAACGCTATTTCTCGTAAGAGCAAGGAGATGCAGGATCATCGTAGGAAGTATCAAGTCGCTCTCTCAAGCAAAGAGAAGAAGAATGAAGACTTGCGCAACGATCTCACTGCTACGATCAACGCCAAAGATGCGGAGCTCGAAGGATTACGCGCCGAACATGTTGCCGCCATCACCGCTAAAAACGGGCAGCTCGAAGCCAAACACCAGTCTGAAGTCGCGATCATCACTCGCCATGGAATCGAAACGCGAAAGCTTCGCGAAGAGGTCGATTCGGTTAAGGTGCAAAAGGACGACAAAGTCAAAGAGCTCGACGCTTTGGTATCTAGCCATGATGCCGCAATGCGTGAGCTTCGTCAACAGCTCGATTTGGTCACTCGGCAAAAGGACGACAAAGCCCAGGAGCTGGAAGATTCACGCAACAAGCACATCGCTGACGCGGCCGACAAGGAGAAGGAGTTTGACGACATTGTATCTAGCCATGAAAGCCAAATGCAGGAGCTGCGCAAAGAGCTCGATCTGGCTAGGGACCAAAAGGCCGATGAAGCTGAGAGGCTAGAACTTTCGAGCACCGAACTTGCTGCCGCGATCAATCTCAAGGACGCAGAGCTGCAGGAAGCACACTACGAACTCGCCATCGCCGTCTCTTGCAAGGAATCAGAGATTGGCTCACTCCACACCAAACACGCCGCCGCCATCTCTGGCAAGGAATCAGAGATTGGCTCACTTCACACCGAGCACGCCGCTACTATCGCTCGCAAGGATGCAGAGCTCAAGAAAGCCCACGACGACTACGCCATCGCCATCTCTGGCAAGGAATCAGAGATTGGCTCACTCAACACCAAGCACACCGCTGTCATCGCCCGCAAAGATGAGGAGCTTGAAACATTGCGCGCCGGACACGCCGCCGCCATAGTCCGCAAGGACAACGACACGATTTCTTCTCTAGCGCCACAACAGACATCTTCAGCATCTGAAGGTGAAGAGAAGCGCCGTGCGGATCTTCTGAAGGCCTCGGTCGAAGTACAGGACGCGAAGATCATGGCCATTGGGAGGGAGTAGGATGCTCTCGAAGGCATCATCCAAAATGTCGGCATGGATCTGCTAACCGCCCTGGGCAAGTTCGGTAAACCTAAGAACAACTGCCATGACGCCATATGGGCAAGAAGACGCCAAGACCCTGAGCGTAAGTGTAAACCCATCCTGTACCAGACGATATCCACTGACCAAACGAAAGTATCGCTTCCGCAAGGTCTGACTTGCCTTGAGACGGCGATGGATATACGTCGTGTAAAGATTGAGCTGGAAGAAACGGTCGATCACCAGTGTGCATTCATCAAGAAGTTCGCTGCAGCCGTTGTCGAGGCTCATCCCGAAGTCATAGAGATGGCAAAGGCCATCGATGTCACTCTCGCCCAGCCTGCGCAGCAGGTGGTTCAACCCACCCAGGCGCCTATACCCGCGCCCGCCCCGGCGAAGATGACCCCAGAGAAGCCCCCAAAGGATACATGTGCCTGCGGGTACTTTTTCCTGGTGACAGATAGCCAGGATGCCTGCCGCGACCATCTCGACGGGTGCGATGACTTCGCGAAATGGACGCCCGAGAAGAAGACAAGCCTTCTGGGCAAGCTCGGTTTGACTGGCTACAAGCAGTCGAAGGCGACAAAGCCGAAGGCAGAGTCGATTACCTGCTGGCACTCCGAGCGTGAATTCGACAAAGTACACGGGCGATGGTTCCACGGCTCACATATCAAGGTAACATTATCCTATGCAACATCTATTCAGTGCCTCACTAACATACATGCGTTCTAGGTCTGCAAAAGGGGCGCCCCCAGCCTCCATGATGTTCCCGGCTCGAGCACACCAGGACCGAAGACTCCCGTCACCACACCTTCCAGACGCGCCCCCGTGATCGAGCACGGCTGGCAGAATACCGGGACAGCGAAGAAGGCCGAGACGTCAGTCTTTGTTTCTGGTGGCATGAGGTTCAGTAAGCATGCGCAGTCGCAGTAGATTCTACAAGGCTCTAGGTCCTTGGCCCGTAGAAGGGAGCAAGGACATTGAGTAGAAAGAAAGAGATGGAGACTATACCAATCAGTGCGACACCGCTAAACCGGGTGTCGTCATTGATGGCGAGGTATAGGACTGATACAGTGCGATGGAAGACGATGATTTTGTTGGATTGTTTTGGGTTTGCGATGGCGTTGATGGAGCAGTTAGTGTTTCGATACCCGTAGGATGATCTCAAAGTTTGACAGCACACACCGGTAACAAAGCCTATACAAATCAATAGTTCAGGTACCTGGGATTCCGTGACTTTGGCTACAGCAGTGATGAGGGTATCGGTGTCTTCCTGGACTAGTGCGGTGTTCGATTGGGATCTTCGCGCATTCTAACTGCAAGATGCTGGTGTGCGAGGCTGGTTGTCAGACCTCTGCACTGCATTGGGCGGTAAGAGCATATTCCGTTGAGTAGCTTCTCGTCGTTAGGTAATGGATGTCAGGTTGGCCACATCGAGCAGTGGCGGTGAAGGAGAACATTGTGCGCAGCTCTTTCAAGTGGGCTCCTCGAAACATACTGAGTAGTCGTCTTCTTGTCGACAAGTACCGAACTGGCAAGTGCGGCTCCAGCCTGTCAGGCAAGCTGGCGTTGGCGTTGCCAGGCCGAGTCACGACAGCGAAGAGCCACTGTGACTACGACTCCACTTCGACTGTCTGGACGCATGGATAGACTTCTTCGCTGTGGAGACGCCGCTGGGAATCGACTCGCAACGAGAATAGGGGACACCCACGACGCAGGTCCGCGGCTTCGTGCGAAGGTAAGTTCCGCGTTCGATAGACCGGCCAGTCCATCTCGTCACGTTGTCACGAATCTCGTCATCAGCGCCAGTCTTTTCAAGGACGAAATGGAATCCTAGGCTCTGGAATGCGATTGGCGAAACATCCAAGCATCGCCATATCTGGGTATGATGGCAGATCTCCAGGGATCCAGAACCGTAGCATAAACTTATTTGTTTGTTTGCAACGGACGACAGGGTCTCCGAACCCCAAAAGGGATGTGCCAGAAACGACGATGCGAATGTTGCCGGGTAGTTAGTAAGGAAGAGGCTCATGCGCAATTAAAGCTTGAGTAGTCGGGCAGTCCTAGGCCAAAGTCGTCGGTCGGCAAGCTCAGGTACCACTTCAAACTCTATGGCGCACAGGCCGGATCGTTTTAGCCGGCTGCCGCGGTGTACCTGGACAGAGGTAAGCATCGTGTAGCTATTTTCGATGCGACGTCTCTTCGTTATCATAGCTGCTGGTGAGAATCTCTGTTGGGAGAGGCGGAGGATGACGGATGTCAGTCGCGATGGTGCTGGTGGTGGCTGAAACGAGCCTAGCGGCACTCCTGGAACGGCGGATTCCACCACCTAACTGCAGCCAAGATAGCCGACCTCACGAACTCCTGCTTGCGCTACCACCCACATCGGTGTGCGACTCGACGACATCACGAATAAAGGATGCGCTAATGCTACTATTTTCCCCTCGAACGACCCGAGCTCAACCCACTTTAGTTTCAAGGCCGCAAGGCTGCACATTCGCACGGTGCGGAGAAGACAGGCTAACCTTCCCTCCCTGCGCACATCGGGGCATCTCCCGCAACTCTAACCTGCTTTATCCTCACTCTACCCTGCGCAGCTCAGGCATCTCCCGTCTACCTGCCGTCGATCCCGCAGCAGATAGCGTGAAACAGACAATCTAGACAACCCTTCATCACTCTTTCAATAGAGTCACTATGTTTCGAAACGAAGCTACTGTGAGGCTCGCCACCATCATGCTCAGGGGCCACTCTGGTCACTGACTACGGCTGTCTACTACCTACGAAGGTCTACCATGCGACTCAGAACCCTCGAGTATAAGACCTCATGTTCCCAGCGCCAAAAGTAAAAAGGCATCAGCTTTGATCTCATCTACTTCACACTTTCGCTTTCAGCAACCAAAAACACTTTCGTTACTACTCTACTCGACTTTATTAGTCCCTACTATCGTTTGTGCAGAGCACTTCACTTCTATCACATTTTTACTCGATCTCATATCGCCAATCGTCCAATACTCGACTTTCGTCAAACACATCAACATCAACAACAGCAAACATGAAGTTCCAAATCGCTCAGGTTCTTGCTATCGCTAGCATCGCTACTGCTCTCCCTACCAACTACGGCTCCGGCTCTGGCACCACCCCAGCTGCTCCCATCACCACTGGAACTTCTCCCAGCTACGGATCTGGCTCCAGCTCAGGCCCCAGCTACGACTCTGGTGCTTCCGATGAGACTCCCAGCAGCGGCAGCGGTGGAAAGCCCAGCTACGGCGGCGGCATCGGTGCCGGTCTTCCTGGACTCGGTGGCTCTGCTGGTGGCAAGGGCGGCCTCGGTGGCATGATCGGTGGCTTCATGCCCGGCGGCGGCAAGCTCCCTGGCCTCGGTGGCTCTGCTGGTGGCAAGCTTCCTGGCATCGGTGGTGGCCTTGCCATCCCCGGCATTGGCGGCGCTGCTGGTGCTGGAGGTGCCGCTGGTGGCAAGGGCGGACTCGGCGGCTTCGGTGGCCTCATGGGCGGACTTGGCGGCGCTGGCAAGGGCGGACTCGGTGGCTTCGGCGGCCTCATGGGCGGAATCGGCGGTGGTGCTCACGGAGGTGCCAACGGCGGCGCTCACGGAGGCGCTGGTGCCGGTGTAGGAGGAGGAGCTGGTGCTGGTGTCGGTGGCTCCGTTGGTGGAGGTGCCCACGGCGGTGCTGGTGCTGGTGCTGGCGTTGGAGGAGGAGCTGGTGCCGGCGTCGGTGGCTCAGTCGGTGGTGGAGCAAACGGCTCTGTCGGCGGTGGTGCCAACGGCGGTGTTGGTGCTGGTGTCGGTGGCGGTGCATCTGGATCCGTCGGTGGAGGTGTAGGAGGCTCTGTTGGAGGTGGTGCCAACGGCGGCGCTGGTGCTGGTGTCGGTGGCTCTGTTGGAGGTGGTGCTTCCGGCTCTGTCGGAGGTGGCGCTAACGGAGGTGCTGGTGCTGGTGTCGGTGGCTCAGTCGGTGGTGGTGCTGGTGTTGGCGGTTCCGTCGGCGGTGGTGCCAACGGCGGTGTTGGTGCTGGTGTCGGTGGCGGTGCTCACGGTGGTGCCGGTGCCGGTGTTGGTGGCTCCGTTGGAGGTGGTGTTCACGGCGGTGCTGGTGTCGGTGCCGGTGCTGGTGGTAACGCTGGCGCTGGTGTTGGCGGCTCTGTTGGTGGCGGTGCTTCTGGATCTGTTGGCGGTGGTGCTGGTGCCGGTGCTGGTGGCTCAGGCTCAGTTGGAGGTGGTGCTTCCGGCTCTGGATCTGGCTCCGGCTCTGGCTCCCACTACTAAGCGCTCGTAGCTGAAGCATCACGCATGCTTCTTGTACATTAGACTCTGGATTGGACGAACGTTAGGATTCGAGATATGACTTTTAATTCATCACTTTACTTAAAACCTCCACTCTTTTGCAACCTACTTTGACCCTCTATGTTCCCTTGATTCAGACGAAGCAACTTCGACTATCAGCAATTCCCATAATCTCAGACAAGCGGCAGGTTCAGAAACAACACAGCTCCGTCATTGTCACTGAGGTCAGCTCTCACTCCAACATACCCAGCACAGCCTCCCAAGGCCTCAACTCCAGCTTCCCACTCTTCGCCTTCTCATCCAACTGCCTCTCGTCATAGTTGCCAGCAACCCACTTCTTCACTTTCAAGTCGCCCATCTTCCCCCACACTATCTGCTCTCCACTGAAGTTCAGCACAGTGATGAAGGCATTCTTCTCACTCCACCGCCGATACGCAACGACCTTCTGATCCTCCATATCAAGCATCTCGAAATCACCGTACACGAAGACGTCCTTGTTCTCCTTGCGACACTCGAGACCGCGCTTCCAGAATGCGCGCACGGAGAGCATACCGGGCGAGGGCTCAGGATTTGCGAGTTGAGCTGCGGCGTTGATGCTGGGATAGTCGTCATTGACGCGCATCCAGGGTTTTCCGCTGGTAAACCCGGCTCGGGCGGATGAGTCCCATTGCATGGGTGTTCTGGCGCTGTCGCGAGCTTTGCGTTGCTGTGTAGATAACATTAGGTAGTCAGCTTATGTCTCATTTCCTAGCGTACGGCCTGGACTTACCATGATCTTGGCTGCTAGGGCCTGCTTTTCAGCATTGCCGGGGTAGAGGTCGCGGTACTTCTTGAAGAAGTTTATGCTTTCAATGTCCTTGTACTCCTCGGGTTTCCACTCTTTGGGCACGTTGCGCATGCCAATCTCCTCACCTTGGTATACATACAACGTTCCAGCGAGGGTAGTCTGCATCAAGCACAACAATTTTGCGCCATACTCACGCCACTGGTCGCTGTCATCGGTAAACCTGCTTACACTCCGAGGCTGGTCATGGTTTTCCACGTAGAGCGAGTTCCAGCCGTCGCGCTCGAGCATCAGGCGCTGCAGCCTGTTCACGATCTTCTTCAGATCCCGCGCATCCCATGGTTGTAGGGTATACTTGAAATCGCCGGGTACATTGTCGATGTCCACCAAGTCGAAGACGAAGATCATGTTCAACTCTTCGTTTTCGGCACCGACGACTTTGATGACTTCGTCGTCATCGCGAACAAATGGCATTTCTCCAACGGTGAGCGTATCGTATTTCGAGAGCACGTCGCGCCGAAGTTCCTTCAACCATTCGTGTAGTCTTGGGCCGTTGGCGTAGTATTTGTCGCCAGGCTGGTACTTGTTGTCTTTGACCGAAACGGCCGCATCGGGGAATGTCTGAACCTTCGATATCATGTTGATGACATCCATACGGAATCCAGAGACACCCCTGTCGAGCCAAAAGCGCAGAATTTCATGTACGGCTGCGCGCACATCGGGGTTTTCCCAATTGAGATCCGGCTGTTCGGGCGTAAAGAGCGATAGGTAGTACTCCTGGGTCTTCTCATCCCAAGTCCACGCAGAGTTTGCCTCTCCTAGAATCTGCGCCCAGTTGTTCGGAGGTACGCGATTTCCTTCAGCATCGTATTTTGCAGGCTTCCAGATATACCAGTCGCGTTTCGAAGATTGCTTTGATGAACGCGAGTCCAGAAACCATGCATGCTCTTCCGATGTATGATTAACCACGAGGTCCATGACGAGTTTCATGTCACGCTTCTTGACTTCTTTGATCAGGTTGTCAACGTCGGCTAAGGTGCCATAGCTGGGGTCGATATCCTCGTAGTCTGCAATGTCGTACCCCATGTCCGCTACAAAAGGTCAGTATGTGCATAGCATACATTTTGAACATTCAGGACTCACCTTGTGGGCTCTTGTAGATTGGCGATACCCATATCACATCAACACCGAGGTCTTTCAAGTAGTCTAGCTTTTGTGTGATACCAGGGACGTCGCCCCAACCATCGCCATTGCTGTCTAGAAACGAAGCAGGGTAGATCTAATAGCCATGTCAATATCTGCATCGGCACAACCGCGAGTCGTCCATACCTGGTATACCACCGCTTCTTTCCACCAGTGGTGCTTGTCGGTTCCGACATACAGGTCTTTCTTTTGCGACATTGTGGAGATTCTACCTGATGACAAGAGGCGTGGTGTCGTGAAGTTTCGTTGTTTTTAGCATTGTGAAATGCGGTGCATAGTGGTTCACGTCATAGCCGTATGTGGGTCGAACCAGTCGCGATGGCCAACAGATGTAGTGCATCTCAACGCGTGGGTGTCTACGTGGGGCGCGTCACCCTCCCGATGTCGCGGGGTAGCCGTTGTGCCGACACCCAGCCACTCAGACGGCGACACCAAGCTTGCCCTGGTATTCCCCATTTCGATGCATCTCCAGATGTGCTTTCAGTAGTAACGTGCATTGTAACCTGGGGCCATTCGCGCAATATGGTAGATACTGTGAAGATCGCGTTGGCTGGCGTAGCTCACGCGCCAAAATACGTCACCACGCGGCTGCACGGCTAGGCACGCGACCTCCTACCCTCCACAGAAACCGGATGAATGCTACCGTGCAGCACGTACCTACAACAACACTCCATGTTACCCTCGCGTTCTTAAAGCTTCAGGAACCCCACCGAATCCGGTCCGATAACACAAAAGACCAGCTTACACCAAAACCAAGAGAGCTCAGAAGCTATGACGTACGACAACGATGCTGAGGAAAGAGGCACGTCCGGCTCGCGCACTCCACTCCTTGGAAGATCAGCGCATCAGAGGATAGGACAGGAGAGCGAAGGCCCTAGATGGACCTTGACGAGTGTCCTACAGTTCTTTGGTGGTGGCATCTATGCTCCCGACTCCACCACGTATGACCCCCTGGAGATTTTGCTCAACACCGAAGACGCAGACGAAAAAGACGAACTCACTACGTTATGGCGAGACAACAAGCTCAGTGAGCTCAACTTCGTCGGCGTTGTGGTAAGTCTCCGAACATCTCTTTTCGTGGCCAATACACTCGGCGCCGTGCCTTCCACATGGCGCATGCTTTACGCCGAATCGTGACATGGCTAGGACGGGCACCGTCCGTTGCATTGGCTTTCCTCAATCAATATCAACGTTCTCGATAGCATCCGACATGCTAATACATGACAGGCAGCGCTTTTAGCTGGCGTCCTCACATCCACCGGAAGCTGGCCGAACATCTTGCCAAATGGGAAAGAATCGCCATGGTCTGTGCGCACATCATGGTACTGCGGTATCATATTGTCGCTTTTCAGCATCCTTACAGCTGCTGATCAAACCGTACGACTGCACCGGCTTTCATCACATCGCGATGGATTAGCCAACATTCGAAAGCTGATTTCCAAGACGAATGGCGAGAAGAGCCACTCATCCAAGACTGGACGTCGGACACCTAGCTTGCTACAAATCGTCACATGGCAAATGCCAGTGATGTTTTTGACTTCCGCTACTGTCTGCATGGTCGTTGGAATGTTCCTGCATGTCTGGTCCGCCACCACACACCTGCACCATCCAACACTGTGGGACGATAACACTAAGGTGCGTTCGTATGGCATCCGTTCTACATCATGCACTGACTCATCCAAAAGGTTGCAATCACGTTTAGTACTGTCGCTATCCTCGCAGTTACGCTGTTCTTCGTCGGCCAGATCTCGCTTTACTCTCCAATTCGACAATGATGTCATACACACGGACAGATGTTGAACAGATCTGGAATTTTGGGGGAGCCCATACTCGGCTCAGGCCTTCGAAGGCCTTCCTTCATACCACTATAAAGACGATTTTCAGCGATTTGGTACCAATTCCACAAGTGTTTCTTCATTACTCGACTACTAGCAATTCCTATTCTGATTGTCGAGCTTGCGCTGGCCTCCGCAGTGTCGTTTGCTCAGTGCGCCTGACCTAATCACGCAATTAATTCAAGGGTATAAAGCGACGGAAATCGCCTTCCTCAAGACTTCTCTAGCCAGTCACTCTGCGGTTCGTCAGTTAAACGCATTGTATAACGCTCATGTCCACCTGTTTCACTACTCGAGCAAATTGGCCTTCGTCATTGCGGGGTTTCCCTTTCTACAGATAGGGCTTGGCTCGCCAGCTCCCACGCGACCAATACAAATTTCCACATCAGCTCACCGCATTTGTTCTATACGTTGCTCACAAACTCAACCACGACCTCTATATCACAACATCTTCCCCCACACCAGCACTTCCCGTATATAATCCGCCTAAGCGACACCTCATGGCGACCGTATCAACAGCGGGCTCGTACGAGCAGTACAAGCTTGACACCAACCGGTTCATCTTTTGGCTCATCGACACTGCGCATAAGCGGGACTACGACATCGCTGATCCAGCTAAGATTCACCAGCCCTCGAAACGGCTGAAAGGCAATGCAAGAACGCAAGCAAATCAAGCGAGCGCCACCTCGACCGCTTCGAAGACGAACTATATCATCTCCACGGAAAAGATCCTCGACTTAGCGAAGTATCTCGCAGACCATAAGGAGACCTCGACAATGCCTAAGTTTGTTTGGTACTCCTACAAACGGGCTGTAAGAACGCGCCAGGCCTACGCCGACCGCTATGCTCAGGAAGAACTGTCGGAGACGGCTTCGGACGATGGCCACATCTACTTCCTGTGGCTGCTGAAACACTGTCATACCATCCTAAAGAAGAAGATCGCAGTGCAGGCGGTCAGCCGACCGGAGAATGCAGCACCTGCGCAACTTCGATTTAACATCGCGACTGAACCGACTTCAGCGCCATCTCTCCTTCCGATACCTGGATCCGCACCGCAGGCTGTTGATCATAGTCAGGAAACCGCACTGGAAGAAATCACAGCTGCTGAGGCCGAACGAGAAGCAAAAGGTCACAAGCTGGATGAGCTGGCTCGGAAATTTGAGCTCGACATGAAGGTGAAACAAGACGCGGAGGCTGAACTCGAAACGGAGAGGAAAGCCAAAGAAGAGATCGCTTTGAGGAAGTCTTGTCTGGCGGACGATATGCGCATCATCGTCGAGCAGCTGGAGTCCGACTGGAACGACACTCACAAGGCCGATGGCGATGAAGATTACTTGGATGAGACCCGAGCTACTCTCATGACGGAAGCTGCGTTCCATCTCATACGCCACAAGGAAGAGGCCTTGGTACGAGAAGCTCATGAGAAAGGTCTGCCGCCATTTGATCCCTCTCTCGATAACGACGACTTCTTCGGTAAGACCGCGAAAGCGCTCAGAAAGATCGAGACCGAGCGACGTTCACAACCAGGAGAATATTTGTTCTTCGTATCGCGGTCGATCATCCAAGATGATATTGCGAACCGACACACGAACGAGGACTACGACTTCCTAGTACACTACTTGTTTGAAGCAGCACTAGAACCAGTAAGTCTTCCTTGGTTCAACAAAAGTCTGATCTATATCCACACTGATTACTGACCATTGTATAGCAAGCCAGAAGGTCACATGAGGAGCAGTACCGGATGCCACTACTAGCAGGAGCATTAGACGCCACTTCTCGGGCATACGGTTCGCTAGGTGCTTTCGAATTTGTCTCAATGGCTCTGATATTCGCTGCCGAGTTGGCGATCAGAATTCGATCGAAAGACAACGATCATTCGGCGAGGCATTACCGACCAATATCATTTCGGGCGGTACAAGAAGAAGTCCAGTTCGCATCTTGGGACGAGCGGAAAATCGCCTTCCCACATTTACTCCAGCAAGTCACAGATTCAGCGTATACACACCGAGGTCTGATCATTCACCGGCCATTCTCCCATGCCCGGTACGCTAAGATGCGGATGTTGGCGTCTGAGCATCTGTTCTGCGGTTTGCAGAACGACTACCCGATGCCAGTGTGGACTCGTGAAATTCGAGATGAGGTGATGATGGGTCTCGAGGCGAGAAACGTTGCCAATGGCATTGGCGACAGGTCTGCGCGCCAAGTGACCGCCGCTCGGTACGTTCTTCCACCACGGGACGGCGACTTCTTGCGTAACACCATCCCGACTCTGAGAGCGAAGCTTTCCCTGGTTCACCTTTTGCTGCGCGAGGAAATGGGCCTCGGCTTTGCGAATCTCAGCCCGCAAATCTTCGCCATAGCCCATTTGTACAACTGCTTCCAAAAGCGGGGCTGGATCAACGGGGTCTGGCCGGAGATTGAGCTCATCATGGACCGGCATTCGAAGAAGATCTTCTCCACCGCAATACCCACGAAACCAGATGAATTCTACTCGCGCCTACTGCTTGTAGCCGGGTACTCAACCACGTTCATCAAGAAAACTCGGAATGCGGACAAGGACGTTTACAGTCGCCGCGATTTTGGGAAAGCCACCCACAAGACGTGCGAGCTGGAACCACTTCCGATGACGAAGATTCTCCGCGACTATGTCCACCAGAGGGAAACGGGAGTGCGCACCTGGTATCGCATGGATGAGGAGATGGCCAAGCACAGTAAAGTTTCTTCGCGGACGCAGGGTTCGGGCGACCTGAACATCTTGTCATTCATCAAAGAGCTTCGCAACTCGGAAGAGCTTCCTCGCGTTCTGGACCGCCTGGAATTTGACTACATCAGTCTGACGCTGCAATGCAACGAGCTTTGCGAGAAGATCGATACCGAACAAGCACAGCTTAGCGCTACTGGAGGGAAAATACACAAAGAGGCGGACTGGAAGTCGCCCACCAGCGACGGATTCATGATTGTGGCAACGCTCCTTGGAGATCTCGACCGCGTTGTGATGAAGAAGAAGCGCAATCCCAAGGGAAACATGGACATGGCAGATACGACTAACGTTGTTGACGCAGCTGTTCAAGTGCTGCAAGGCTTCCTGGATGGGCTGAAGAAGTAGGAGAAGAGGCGGACGGCATGATTAGGCAGTAGACTTGAGCAATGATACCCCAAATAGCAACTTCGCGGAGTAACTCGGATGGACCATGATTGGAAAACCTCCCGTATAGCAAAGATGCATCAAATATGTGACTTCACACCATCTTCGCTTCATGGCTGGTTTACTGCACTGATACCAGACCGGCTCCCCACCTGTGTAACAATTCAGCTCATCTCATCTGTCGTGTAAAACTTACTCCGCATCTCTGCAACCCGGTTGAGATCCCAAAATCCACATCCGCCAATCACATCGAGGCACACGGGCTGCGGCTGACTGATGGCTCGGGATCACGACGCCACTAATAAAGCTTCGTATATGCACTCCAGATCTACAGTGCCCGTGGAATGGTGTGATAGTTTCCCGCGCCGGCTGGAATGCTGGGAGTCAGAAGTGTCGCGAAAGCTTAAATTGGAACTAGAGTCTCGCATGGTAGTGCCAGTGTAGTATCCCAATCTTGCCCTTTTGCAACATGCGTCTTCTCGATCTCTATTCCGCTAGTGTTTTCTTGTTCGGCGCAGCATCTGCGTACGGCTATCCAAGCAACTCATGTGAAGACTTGGCCTTGGTACTTCCCAACCGCACCTTCTTCCCCGCAGCATCAACCTACAACGCATCAATCCAATCATATCCATTCCTTCAGCTTCGTCTGCGACCATCGTGCATTGTCCGTCCAATATCCGCAGAAGATGTAGCAATCGCCATCAATATTCTGCGAGTGAGCAACAGCACCAAGTTTGCGATCAAAGGAGGTGGTCACAACGCGAACGTTGGCTTCAACAATGTCGATGAGGGCGTTACAATCGACATGCAGAGCATGAACAAGGTTGAAGTTGCGCGAGGAAATCAGGTCGTGAGGGTTGGTGCGGGAGCGCTGTGGCAGGACGTATATGACGAGGCTGAGAAGCGGGATCTGACAGTACTTGGGGGTCGCATTGGCGTCGTCGGAACTGCTGGCTTTCTGACAGGAGGTAAGCTGAGATTCGTGTGACCAATTCGTGAACTTACAAGACTAACCGACATCGCCCAGGTGGTATATCTTTCTTCAGCCCAGAGCGTGGATGGGCATGTGACGGCGTCGTCAACTTCGAGGTCGTACTCGCGAGCGGGAGGATTGTCAATGCCAATGCGACATCGCATTCTGACCTCTTCGCAGCGCTCAAAGGAGGGCAGCTCAACTTCGGCATAGTCTCGCGCTTTGACTTGGCATCCTTCCCTGCTGGTCCTATCTATGGTGGAAGAATCGTGTTCGGGCCCAACGCCACCACGCCTTTGCTTTCTGCATTTACCAAGTTCAAGCTCGGAGAATATGACCCATATGCAGCGGGCTGGGTCACTGTACGATACAACCATACGGCAGCGACGTTCACCCCAGTGAGCATCATGTGGTACACACGGCCAGCGCAAAGGCCTGGGGCACTGAAGGCGATTTTCGAGACCAAGCCGCAAGTCATAAATGGCATGGTTGAAGCTCCCATTAGTGAGCATACTAGGAACGCATCGAGACAAGCAGCCGCGAATCCTCAGCGCACCATCTGGGCGACGACCTCTTTCGCCGTCTCGCCAACGACCATTAATCGCATTCACACCTTGTGGAAGCGGGTCGTACCTGAGATTGCTGCACAGTACGCCTACGCCAAACCAGTCGCGGAGATAACCTTCCAGGCTCTTCCCGCACCCCCTCGCAATGGCGCATCGCCCAATAGCTAGGCTTTGGACCAGACGAAACGCCAGAGAAGGATCTGGTATTCTTGCAGATTATCTTCACATTTGAGGACGCTGCCGCTACCGATGGTTTCGAAGAAGCTTTGAAGGATCTGGTAAAGCTAGTGGAGGGACTGACGAAGGAAGAGGGTGTTTTCCATCGGTACAAGTATCTGAACTTTGCAGCATCGTTTCAGGATCCGCTGGGAAGCTATGGCGGAGTTGAGTTAGGAAGGATGAGGGAAGTGGCGAGGAAGTACGATCCAACGGGTGTTTTTCAGACGCAGGTGCCGGGAGGGTTCAAGCTGTTTTGATACATATGGGCGCGAATGTGAGGAGCAACGGGCGTGAAGACATCGCGGGCGCGTCGGTGGGGTGGCTGGGACGCGTCCACGCCCACGGGTGCGGGCGACATCGTCCAAACCCAAACTGGCTAGTGCAGGGGTGAGCTCCATCAAACCTACGCAACCACGACCGCCGTCATTTCGTTAGAAACTTGCGTCCAATATATCGAATGCGTTGCCCGTTGCTATGAACTCTACGCGATGTATCAGTGTCATTAAAGATGTAAAGTTCTAAAGAAGGCGGATGTCAAGGCGTTCCGCTGAGCCGCCCGCGATGCTGGCGATTTAAACGCAAATGAGTCCACGGGCACGTGTAATTGCTCCTGTGCTCTGAGTTCGCAAGACGATGGTTGATCGAGACCGCACGAGGACGAGCTTTATCAATGATCGCGACTAGTATCGCTTCCGTCCTTACTTTATTACCATACTGAACGCTTTCCCGAGGTCCTCAGATGGTATGGTGGACATTACGAACGATACGTTCCCTCAGCTCTTGATACCACTTGCAGGATCGCTGACAACCTACTGCTGTCTGTCTAATTTGGTCGGATCGAGGGAAAATGGAGACAGTGAAGGGCCCATGGAAGTGGCGGCTCACATTCACTGTCATGGGAATCGCCTAGCAAATTCTCTCTCACTGCAAGTAATCTGTAGCACGGCCACAATATCTGTACAACTCTTGGGAAAGAATTTGCCATAAGCAGCCGTGTTGCGCATCAAAAACTCTTCTTCTCGCCGCATCAACCCAACCGTAGGTACAGATCATCAATCAAGTCAACCTTGGATTACATCAACAACCACCAGACAAAGTCCACGGGTTATCCAGATACACTTGCAACCCTCGATCAGCCTTTCAATACCTCGAAATCGATAGTCACACCTATACCTCGGCAGTTTACTTTACCAACACCGCGCATATTCACCGTGTCAAGATGGACCCTGTGACAATTGTTCTTTGGGTGTTCGTAGCCCTGCTAGAGATTTGGCTGGTCTTCGCCCTCGCATACGCCGGGCTGCAGAGATACGATGGACGGAACTTCCTCCAACGATTCGTGGCCGCTTTGCTATTCCGGTTGTAGGCGACGGAGTGGAACGAGGGTGACGCATGAAGCTGAATGGGGAACACACTTGGAGGAAATGGGGCGTTGCGAGAAATGGAGTGGAGTCATCGGAATGATACGCAGTGTATGCGTCGACGGAACATCACGCAGTATGGCCAGAGATAGGCTGGACGTGAAATGATTCTATGTTTGTCACATGTCCCTACAACTGCAGTTCGTTTACCATTTCCTCCCCTGACAGCCCTGCAAGCAAATTCTTGACACTCTCCGTAGCCATCTGTACCCGTGTCTCAATCGTAGCGCTTCCAATATGCGGCACAAGGACAGCTCTCGGTTGTTTCAGAATCGGGTGATCAGCTGTAATGTTGGGCTCATTCTCAATCACGTCCAAGCCGGCACCGAAGATCTGCTCTTGATCCAGCGCCGTCACCAGTGCATCAGTGTCGATGATGGGGCCTCGCGCGATGTTGACGATGACAGCGAGTTTCTTCATCTTGGAGAAGAAGTTTGTACTCACGAGATGCTTGGTTTCGGGCGTGAGGGCGCATCCAACAACGACTACATCGCTCTCTTGTGCGAGCTGGTCTGTGCTGTTTGCTGGCTCGATGGGGATAGTAGCGTTCTTAATCAGGCCGAAGTGGTCCTCTTTGACGGGCTTGCCAGGCTTGGATGTGAGGTAAATGACCTTCTTGATACCGAACGGCAGTAGTCTCTGCAGCGAAGCCTGTGCAATCCTCCCGAATCCCAAGAAGCCGATAGTTGATCCTCGGATCTGAGGGCCAGTCATGAGCAGTGGATGCCACGGCATCTGAGGCCATTCGCCCTTTGCGACTTTCGTCATCGACTCTCCACCTCTTCTTTGGGCCATGAGAATAAGCATGATCGTAAGGTCTGCTACGGCGTCGGTGAGACATGTTGGTGTGTAGCCGAGGCGTACATTGCGCTTCTTCAGCGCATTTCGGTCAACGTGGTCGGTTCCGACGGAGAATGAAGCGATAGCTTTTAGTTGCGATCCGGCTGCTTCTAATAGCTCTTCATCGACTCTATCTGTGAGCATAACCAGGATTCCGGTCGCACCTTTTGCATTCTCGAGAAGCCATGGGCGCGGACATGGCTGTATGCATATCGTCAGCAACCCGTCTTTATCGCCAGTGACGGACACTCACCTTTTCGGATTGCCATTGCACAACTTCCAATTCTTCCTTCTTCGCATCGAGAAGACTTTGCGCCTCGTCGATTAATTGTCGCGTTACAATGACCTTGGTCTTCGCCATGTTGGTATTGAATCGTGCAACTGAGGGGTTACCGCGATCGGCGTTAGGCGGGGTAGAGCTCGAGTTCGTCGCAGTAGCACCGTCACGAGGAGTTGGTGAGATGTGCAAAGAAACTTGCGATAATCTTTGCATTGGAGTTGGATATGTGCTAAGCAGTCACTGTCCCCAGACGTTCATCTTTACAACTTTGCTGCCGGACATCATTGGCCCGAAGCATCCGCCAATCAGCGTTGGAGTAGGAAAAGCGAATCCACCCTCGGATGAGTCGTCTCCTTGCCTTCCAATACTATCATGTACCGGGAGACGAAGAGTCCCTTATTAGACGTCGTGGAATTCAGAACGTCGAATTGGGTATATTTGAAGCAACGCCCGTCGCCGCCCACGTATCGCGCTGGAAAGTGACGCTCCCAAAGTAGCAGGTACAGCCGATGCGCGCCCCACTCTCACCATATCACCTCTTCTCCATCTCTATCTTCGTTGTCAAATGTCTCGTTCAGCGCTGTAACTGTTACCATTCATGAAACTTGACACAAAGCAATCCCTCGAAACCCCATTGAGACCAGAGACAGGAACCACCAACCCGAAGTAGCCATGGAGGAACGAGCGCGCATCCCCGTCGCGCCACCCATCGCCAATCCACTGCCTTCGTACTGGCACGACCCCAAGTCTCATCTTGCTAATGTCACTGAGCCAAAAGCTACAACGGTTACACAAATCTACGATTATGTCGTCATCGGCTCCGGGATCTCAGGCACAATGACCGCCTACAATGTTCTCAACACCTGGCCAGACGCACGCGTGGTGATGTTGGAAGCACGTGAAGTCTGCTCAGGCGCCACGGGTCGCAACGGCGGACACACCAAAGCGGCAAGCTACCGCAGCTACACACACCATGTGCAAGAGCTTGGCAAAGAAGAAGCATTAAAGATCGCGAGACTAGAATATGCCAACATTGTTGAGACGCATCGCATGGCAGAGGAATTGGGTTTGAACTGCGAGAGTGAATTGTGTAACACGGTCGATCTTATCTACGATAAGCCTACTTTTGAAGCTGGCAAGATGGCGATTCAGATGCTGCGAGTTGATGCGGAAGAGCAGGAGAAGGAAGTGGGAAATGCTGCATGGTACCAGATCCATGAAGATATTACGGATATACAGAGCAGATTCTCTGTTGCAGCGGAAAACAGCAATCTAACGATAGGAACGAAAGAGAAGCTGGCAGGCGCCTTCGAATACGTAGCCGGCAGAATCCACGCATATCGTTTTACCACCGGATTATTAGCGAAGTGTGTCAAGAAAGGGCTACAGCTGTGCACGAATACGCCAGTCCACGACATCCGTCCCTCGGCGAAATCGGAAGGCGAGAGCGGTAGCCGCTGGGATGTATGTACCCAAGAAAGCACCATCACATCCAAAAACGTCATCATCGCAACTAACGGCTATACACCTTACATCATGAAGGAGCTGCAAGGAGCCATCGTGCCAATGCGTGGACAAATCACCGCACAGCGACCAGGAACCTCGACGAAGCTTCTAGCTCCATTACCGACAACATACTCGTTCATCTACCGCGATGGCTACGAGTACATGATTCCTCGGCCCCTGCCAGACGGAGAACAGCACATCGTCATTGGTGGTGGTTTGGGCCGTCTTCCTCAGGCCGGTCCGAGCGAGTACGGGACGGTTGACGATAGTACCTTGAACCCAGAGATCTCCAACTACCTCAACGAGAGCTTGACTGGGTATTTTGGCGCCGAAAACTGGGGTGAGACGTCTAAAGAAGAGACATCGCGCCGTATAGTACAGGAGTGGACGGGTATAATGGGCGCAACGGCTGACGGACGGCCGTTTGTGGGTGAGGTGCCAGGTAAAGAGGGCCTGTGGATATCCGCGGGGTTTAATGGGCACGGTATGGTGTTATGTTTGAAGTCTGCGGAGGCGTTGGTGAAGATGATGGAAGCTGGAAGTACGAATGGGAAACCAGAGTGGTTCCCCAAGAGCTTTTTGATGACACAAGAACGGTTGGAGAAGTGCAATTTTCGTGGTCGTACCGATATGCAGGTATCTGAATGATTAATCTGACAGATAACTCGTTATCAGACACTCTGATTTTTCTACAACATACCCAACGATAGTGCAGAGATAGTGTTCTGTTGTACGACGACACCTCAACGTAACACAGCTCTTAGTAACACACTTCATCTTCTCTTACAATCGTTCCAGTGCAGATATGCCTGTGCGGGTAGGTAACAGCAAATGCAGAAAACTATATACCCTGCATTCCCAATAAAGCATGTAACAGCATAAGCCTTCGGCCTCGACTGCTC